GGCTCCCGGCGCCCTGCCTGCCGGGCCCGCGCGGGCAGCGGCTCCGAGGCCCCGGCGCCCCGCGCCCGAGCACCCCGGAAAGTGCCGCGGCGCCTCCCAGGGCCCCGACTCCTCAGGCCTCGCCCCGGCCCCGGCGGCTCGCGCCTGTCAGGACGCGTGGGGCCTCCCCTTACCGACGGCCGGCCGGCCCGCCCGACAGGCCGGAAGGCGCCAGGGCCGACCCGCGGGCGCCCCTCCGCCTCTCGCGCCCCGGGTTGCCGTCCGGAGCCGGGGCTCCACCATCCCCGCTCACCTCCTTCCTCCTCCTCCTCCTCGTCCTCCGCTCCCCGAGCGACGCTCCCTGCCACCGCCCCCCCGCCCCTCCCCCACTCGCTCCGCCCCTCCACACACTCTGGCGCCGACGCCCCGCCCCGGCCCTCCGGAGCGAGCCTGGCATTCGCTGGGGAGGGTGGCTGGGCGGAGCCACGGCCGGCGCAGCCGCCCAATCAGAGCGAGACGTTGGTGCCAGCTTCCCTCACCCCGCCCTTTTCCTAGCCTCCGCGGCTGTGCGCGGTCGCCCGCCCACTGGGCGCCGCTGGCTCGCTCCGCCACAGAGAAAGCCTCCGGCCGGGTAGAGAAACAACTCCCAGTCGGAAGTTACGGTTGAAGCCCAGGCAGCCATAATTGATAATGGCAGGAGGCGCTTCCTGTCTCCCGTTTGACGTAAGCTCTTCCCGCATTCGGTTCTTCCCTCCCCCGTTACCCTAGGCAACAGCGGAGCTGTCCGGGGAGGGGCGCAACCGTACGTATACCTACAGAATTGTTGCACAGACAGACAGTCCAATTTAGGCAAGTTAATTCGTGCTCAGGAGCTGCAGGTTTTGTTTTCAGGCCCTTTACTGAGACGCCTGATCACTTACGTAGAACTACAGCTTAGAGCTTCAAAACTCCCTCGCGCCGGAAGTTGCGCTTGGCACTTCCTAGTAGGGTCCTAGCCAGGAGGTGGGAGTAGGCGCCCCAGCCTGCACCCCAGCCTGCGCCCCAGCCTGCGCCCCGGGGGGTGCCTCCTCTCCCAGAGTTGAAGAGTGAGGTAAGTAAGTGTCCCTCGACGCCCAGCAGCGGGGCCGGCCCGTGGGGAGGGAGCTCTGGGAAGACTAGGAGGCCCAGGGCCGCTTCCGCTGGCGGAGGGTATTCTTTCCGGCTCGTGGGGCGGTGGCCAGCCTACCCTCCGCCCCTCTGAGGTTCCCTGTAGGGCGAGGCTGCCCGCTCCACCGCACAGCCTGGCCCGGCAGCTAGCCGACCCTAGATCTGGGCCCTAGCAGCTGCCAAGTGGAGCACCCGACAGGCCTCCACGAGTTCCTGTCAAGTTCAGTACTTTCACTGCATGACCATTAGAGACTGTTTCGGGAACAAAAAGGAATCAGTTTCCACCCCAACTATCAAAAAAAAAAAAAGTCTTTCCCCAGCCAAACAGCAACGCAAAACCTTCCCACCTCCGCTTTCGTTCACCTTCTGACTTTTCCACGCTTTCTGAACTGCCTTTCCTTCCTGGGCTCTTTGAAAGCTTTGACAAGAATTCTGAATTAGGGTGTATTGTAGTATTTAGTCCTGAGTGTCTACGATTGTGAATATCCTTTTGGAGAACATCTTGAAATATTAAAAATGCTTTTTTAGCTCTTTAAATACATTATCTCATGTAGTAGCTTCTGTAGACTTTTTGAGTCAAGTCAATCGTTCTCCTAATTACCGATCGGGTTCCCAAAGCTGCAAGAAAAAGGTAAATTAAGAATTGCTTCTACCTACCCAATCGATAATGAAAATGCAAATCTACCTTTTCTACCAATATTCCAGAAAAATAGAAATACTCTTTATTTCTTCTGGGGTTATTTATTGCAATCTGCTGTCACCTTTTGTGATTTATGTTCATGATTGTTATCCTCGGAGAGCTGTTTTCAAATTCTCTCCAACAGGAAATTATTTCCTCTGACCTTATATAGCACTTCTTACACATCTTATAGTAGTCCCTATTTCATATATCACACCTCCTTACATGCTTTTTGCTTCATGACTGTTTATGAGTGAATAAAATGGTTTGTGTGGGATTCATATGCTGTACACATTATTAGCTTTGTCCTGGGCATCCAAGACACTTCTGTATCAGAAATTAAGCATAATCCCTGGTACTCTGATTTGTGTGTGTGTGTGTGTGTGTGTGTGTGTGTGTGTGTGTGTGTGCTCCCTCTGAAATCTTTACAGCATAATCCCCCTCCCAAATGTTTTATTGTGAAAACATGCAGACATTAGAAAGCTTAAAAAGGCTAGGTGTGATGATGCACTTGGATTGAAGCAAGAAAATATCACATTCAAAGCCATTTGAATACATATAGAAATCCTATCTCAAAAAGGAGGGAGGAGTGAGGGGAGAAAAGCTCAGATGCTGTACAGTCATATCAGCTGTGTAATATTTAAGATACTGCTATATACACATTTCTTTCCTTGCATTCCTATGTTAGTACTATTTAGAAACAAATTATAGGTCTGAAGTTAGGCAGTCACCCTCAACATGAATTTCCTAAGAACTTTGAAGCAGAGAAACTAAAAAATATAGTGTCATTGAAACCAAAAAACACAGAAAATACACAAACCAAAATCCTGAGTTTTGTATTGTACATGGACAGTGCCACTGTAACTTTAGAACTGTCCCCATCTTCTTCCTCGCTGTGACACTGACATTTTGAAGAAGTCAATACCAGGAAGCATTGTTGGAAAAGGATTCCTTTCCTTATTTCATGTGAACTACAAGTTAGACTGAAGGCTTGACTAAGCTTAGTTCTATGTTGTGCATGACTGTGGAAACAGTTCTCAGCTATGTTCTCAGATGCAACTACATGTGCCCTTGCCTTCTGTTACAGGTCAAGTCCATCCCGGTTGGCACGCTGAGGCTTTGACATTTAATTTGCCTCTGTCTATAGTGTATTTAATAGTGCCTCGGCTGGCAATATGGATCTTTTTAATAAATGTTGCTTCTTTGCCTATGCTTGAAGCTGATGCAATGAAATCTACACAAAGTATACTGATGTCAGCATAGTTTCTTGAGTTTCAAGTCCTGGCACTCCGCAGATTGCTGTTGAAAGATGTGTAGCTCTGTAATTCAAACACATGAATGTTGATCTTATCACGGCAGATACCACGGCAACTGTTGTCCATCTGGCCACAATCCAATTTAGGCAAAGTTATTTTCTCCCTGAAATAATTCTGCAAGATCTAATTGGTCCTGTTATTTCTGTGATAGCATTGCCTATTAAAAATTGCAAAATCAAGATTATACTTAACACTTAGTTCATTAGGAACATTCTGTGCCCAGTAGATAGAGAACCATTGAATTTAGTTTATAATCACAAGAGGAAAACTCTCAAGAATGCAAAATTCATGTATTCCTCCTACCCTATACTTTTCATCATGAAAGTGAAAAGAAATTTCTTAGGTTAGTGTAGACTGTTTATAGCCATCACAGTGAAAGTTAGTTTCAGTTGATTTCTTTGTATAGGAGGAAGTGTGTTCCTATATGATTGCGAAACAATTTTAAATTACTATTGAATTCAGGAAGGCTAAATATAATAGTTGAGAGTAGGTTTTGGAATCAGACCTGGACTTCAGGAATTGCTCATTCACTAGCTGAGTGTTTATGGGCTGTTTAAAACTAAATTTGAATAGAAGTCAAGTGTTATATAGAATACTGTAGCTTTCCTCCCAGCATACAGAGTATAGTCAAGAGGATGGTTGTTATTAACTTCTAAAGCAGTCTAGTTTAGGCACGTGTTGGGCATTAAAATATTAAAGTCTGTATGTGTGTGTGTGTGTGTGTGTGTGTGTGTGAGAGAGAGAGAGAGAGAGAGAGAGAGAGAGTTCTTCCAGTTCAATGTCAAAAACAAAAGATTCTAATTCACAGGTTCTGGAGGGCTTTAGAAAAAAATGTCATTTTTAATAATGAAACAAGATTTTTATGCAGAATGAGATTTGAGGACTTGGCTTTGGAAAACAATGTAAACTATCAAATACTTCTCTTTCCTTACATACTATGGGAATGGCTAACCATTTATCTCGGCTACTAATTAACTTTTTCACAAAGGTGAACGGTTAGTCTTTTTAAGACTGTCACCTAAAACTGAACTTTGAAACCAGTTATTAGAGAGCAGTATTTCACAGAAGATGAGTGCGCAGTTAACAGTGATATATGTTGGTGGAGTCTTCCAGGGCCTATGGCATCATCCAGATCTTCTGTGAACAGTTCCTGTTCTGAAGCTCAGAAACTAGACACCACACATTTTATTAACATGACTCTGAGTTAATTAGCCAAATTGAGCATGTTGCAACACATTTATACTAGCAGATGCCAGCTAGCAAAGCAGAATAGAATCTACTGTGTCTCCAACTGCCCGATATCTGATGTCAGTTGGCTTCTCCACATGAATGTTATCAGTCTGGCATATGAGCAATTGCTTAAGTACACTGGGTGTCACTACTGTATATCTACTGGGAAACACATTCTCTCTGGACATTCTCTTACCTTTTTATTAGCTTACATTAGATAATCTATATGAGACTGGGGGTGTAGCTCAGCAGTGAGTGCTTATCTATTGTGTACAAGGCCCTAAGTTTAATCCCCTTTACTGCCCCACCCTCTATTCCTCCAAAATCTAAGCTTTTGAAAATTCATCTATCGTTCAACTTCAACTTTTGAATAAAACAAAGCATAATTTTTTGTTATTCCTACAACTCTATGCCAAGTGCATTTGAAACTGTACCCCAAACTAAATTGACTTTAAAAAAGCTAACTTAATGAATATTCACAAAAGAATTTATTTTAAAAGCCCTAACAATATTCTTTTTATTATAGAATTGTTTCTGGTGCTTCAAGCTCTAGGATTTCGATCTTAATGTCTGCCGAGTCCAGTGGTTTGTACCAGTAGTATCAACTACTCTCAAGGATGAAGCAGAAGGATTACTTGAGCCCAAGAGTCCCAAAGCAACCTAGGCAAATGCATCGAGACCCTATCTCAAAAGGAGTTGGGAGGGGGCTGAAGAAAGCCTCAGACATTAAAGACTAGGTTACAGCTAATAAAAACAAATCGATAACACCGACCAAACAAGTCAGTCTGCGCACAACTGAGGCCGTCAGACAATTTGGCATGTATCTCACAATGGCTCTGCACTTTACTGCAGGTCAGTGTCAGACACAGCTAAGCTCACAAGGGAAGGAAATGAAGGGGAAGAGTAAGGACTGCACAATTTGAACGTACATATTTAGCAAATACTACCAAATACAGCTAAAATTTGGATTTTATGTCAAATCTGCAAGTTTTCAAGATTAGTTCAAATACTTTTTAAACATCTAGAAGACCAGAAGAAAAAAAATAAGGGCTCTAGCTTTATGATGTCTATATTTCTTACATAATAAAAAAACACTTTGCTTTGTTTAAAGACCCTCAGAATGCTTTAAAGTACTATTACTTCTCTTGGTAAGACTCAATTCACTTGTCATCTCTACCAAAAATTCAAGATAGATTTTTAGCATACAACAGACTTCTATTTCTTTGGTTACAGTCTGCATGGGTTTCTAGTCTCCACTGCTCTCTTAAAACCTTTGACATGATTTCAACCTTCAGTTATATCTATTTGATGTACATTTGCTTTATCATACATTCAACAACATTTAAGAATATAATTTGGCAGTGCATGCTGCCTCAAATTTAAATCTTTTAAAAAGTGTTGAAACATGTTTTAATAGATCATGCCATCTTATAGGTACTATGGTTTCCATAAAGATTTGAAGATTTTTGAACTCAGGAAATCTCTTAATGGCAATGAAGAGCAAGTCCATCTATTTACCTATCAAATATCTACTATTATTTGTCTATCTCTACTATTATAATATCTATTGCAAACAGAAGTTTACAATTTTGGATAGATAATACCAAGCTGGAAATTGGTTAAATATATTCAGGATCACACAACTAAGTTATCCATCAGTATAACTTTAGTATTCCACTTAAAATATGTACATGAAACAGAGCAAAGCCAGCTAGCTAATTAGCCCAGAGTACAACTCTGTATCCCATTTAAAGTATAAATGTAAATAGGTTTCTAAAAGAAAATATTCCAGCTCAAGCTTGTTTTACTCAAATCATATATTAGCTTTGTTTTTGGTACCACAGCTTGCATTTTTTTGTCTAGGTAGACAAAGACATGACCTAACGCTTATAGCCCTGTTTAGCTATTTAAAATATTGCATATATGCTCAAAATGAGACAGTCCCGTGGCACATTCTTTTAAAACATGATACTTGGGGTGAGGATCCATAGTAGAACTCTTCCTTAGCATACATAAGACCCTGACTTGATCACCAGCACTAGGGAAGAAATCTGTAAGTAAAACCCATGGCCAAAAAAACCTGCTTGCCATCCTATGCTGTTTTCAGGGTGGTATCAAATATGATAATTAGCATACTCGATATAAATTGAAAAAGAACACTTACATGCTATATACATTGAGACAGTCACTAATGATATAAAAGGGTAATTTAGTGTTTATTTTTTAAACAAGTACACATTTCTTAGACTTTCTGACTCATTTTTACCTTGTTCTCTTAACAGTAACCAGTGGCTTCAAATCTGCCTGTTCCAGTAAATTGTGAAGAGTATTACTTCAGCCTTCACTGGTTTCTACTCATTGTAAGCTCTTCTTGTCTAACATCTTAAATGTTTGTACTCTTTTTCTTTCCGTGGGCCTCCAAGCTATTTGCCCAGGTGTAGCATAGAGAAAACTGAAAAGAGAAGCAGCTAATGGACTGTGATAAATGAGAGTCCAAGTCCTTTTTCTTCACTTAACAATTATATAATCTTAAAGATGATTGCCTTTTCTAGTCTCTTTACCTTTTGCAATATGACTGTCCCAGCCTTCTGAGTGCTGGGACTAAAGGTGTGCACCAGCACTGCCCAGCCCAGCTAGTCATTCAAACTAATGTGTGTGTAAGATTACTACTAAGAGCATAGGGCTGTAGAGGGAATGGTGGCTTGTCTGCAGCCATGCCACTGTGAATAGGGCTGGCCTTGGAAGCAGGTTCTCACCTATTAAGACAGTGGATGGGATGACAGGTGAGTAATTCTGAATTGTTCCTTGCTGTTATGTTTTTATTCATTAAACATTAGTAATAAGCCCCCATAACTGTTATTAGACATTGTCCCCGAGAATCTAGTTTTTTGGCATTATAGTGGTACAGCACAGTAAAAATTGCTAATATTGATTGAACTCCTATGTGCTACGAATTGGTGTGAGGTTGCTGTATGCATTCTTTACTTGCCATGCATTATTATGGCATGTGTGCACCTACACACACAAAATAAGCAAAATGCTAACTCTGCTTTGAAAGAAAAAAGATGCTTAACTGCTATGTATACTTGTCTTTTTACCACTGATCCCACCACCCACCATTTCCCCATCCTTGAGTAATTCAGTATACCTCTCTCATTGATACTGATGGACAACCAACTCTATCTCAGTCATTTTTACCTTCCAACTGGGCTTTCATACTTAGTGAGCCTCCTGAATTGTGACGTCTTAAGCCAGTGTTCTGTTGCTGTGAAGAAACACTCTGACCACAGCAACACTTATAAAAGCAAGCATTTAATTGAAGACTGGGTTTAAATGTTTAGTCCATTATCATCATGGCAGAAAGCTTGGCAGCATACAGGCAGAAATTGTGCTGAAGAAGTAGCTTAGAGCTATATTTGTATCTGCTGGCCAAGAGACTCTGGTCTTGGCATGGGCTTTTGAAACCTCAGTGACACACTTCCTCCAACAAGGCCATAACTCCTAATCCTTTCAAATAATGCCACTCCTGGTGACCAAGCATTCAAATCTATGATCCTATGGTGCCAATCTCATCCAAACCACTCTAAATGGTCTTTACTCCTTTCCAAATTTGAATGCCTGCAAAATCCAATCATTTTGGCTTTTCTCAATCATGTTTGATTACTTTCTCATCACCCAAACTGTTGTGTAGTGGTAAGAGATGTGAATCTCAGCCTCTCATATATCATTGAATATCCTTTCCATCTGTTCTCATTTCTTTATTTTATAGATTCATACTCTTAAAACAATTGTACTTCCCTTACTGATCCCAATGCCTCTGCTATCTTTTCTGGGCTTGCCTGCGTAGAATGTTTTTTGTTTTGTTTTGTTTTTTTTCAAGAAATCATACTATATGCCTTAAAGTCTTCCAGTTCCCTGATACCTATATGTCTGTATATTTTCTATAGGATATAAGGTACAGTTTTAGTAATTTTAGTATTTAACCTTTTGCTTTGTGGCCACTTTAGAGATCTCTCTCTCCCTGATCAAAGGACTATGGCCTAGGCTGTTTTTCTCAAATGGGTAATAGATGAAATGTTGGAGTTATCTCTTCTACAGGTCTGCAATATTAAAAGTCTAGCAGATGACGGTAGGAGCAAACTCTTTACAAGGTCTTATAAACATTTTTCTTTGGCTTTCAAAGTTGTCTTGGTATTGTTAGAGTGAAGCTGATACTTAATGGAGAATATGTATACCACTGTTTTGCTGGCTCAATCTACCACCATCTCTTGCCTTCTCCTTAAACATTCCTAATTCCCTTTGCCTATTGGGTATATGATATTTGGAGTGGGGGACACATACGGTATAGCATATGTGCAGTCAAAAGGAACCTTCAGCAGTCAGTTCTTCCCTGCTACCAGGGGCTACCAGGGTCAACTCAACTATCTTGGATTGATCTTTACAAATTATTCAGAAAAAAAAAATCGTGATTTCAAATTAGCTTTATTGTAAATAATGTTTTCCTTAGTGTGTGTTCCACCTATTGTGTCTTATCACACATTACATCTAGTATGTTTGTAGTAGATTTTGTACCATTCTCAGAGGAGTCCAAATAAGTTTGGCAAATAACACATTTTCAATTCTGTTGTTGCAGATTCATTACATACTGTAGTATATTGAAGTTTCAAAAAAAAAGTCGTGATGTTAAAAAAATCTTTTTTCCTTCCAGTGGGATCTCAAGTATTAGTAACTATAAAATTCTTCCAGGAAATCTATTAACATGTCCAAGTACAACATAATGTGATTTATTGTACAAATCAGAAGTACTTACGCCAGGTTACACATGCTTCAAGTCACATACAGACATTCAGGGCAGAATGGATGCAAGCAAGGCTGAGAATAATGAACTTGCAGACCATTAATTTCCATGTTCAGTCATTTGGTGCCGAATTCCCTGAGAAAATGGGTCTGTAGCGAACTGTCATTTCCCATAACCCCTTCACATTCACCTAACCAAAAAAAAAAAAAAAAGGTATTCTCTACACAATGTAAAACTTTACTATGATAAAATGCTTGGAGGAGCAAATCTCTTGGACGCCAGAGACAGTAACTAACTAAAACACGTAGTAAGACTGAGGACATGGAATTATTACAGAAGGTTGAGCTTGTGAAGACAGACTGCTCAATGCTCAGCTTCCAAAACTACTGTAGGAAACACAGGCATTAACGATACAGCTCATTGGCAAAATGCTTGCCTAATGTGCACAATGGTAAAAATTTTATTTCCTAATTTCTTGTTCATTAAATACTTATTAATGATAGGTCACTATGATTTTCAAATATACAACAAGCTCAAAAACTGAACAAAAAAAAAAAAAACAACCCACTCTTATCAGTACTGACACGTATAAACGAAAAATCAGACTGTAGCAATCCAAATGAATTCTCAGCCATGCATGTGTAAGCTTACCAAGAAAGGTCTCCTTAACAACAGATACACGGTCAATAGCTTTATTTTACAAACATGTATCTTAGGATTATAATTAAAATTTATAAATATTTTTGTAGCCAGATAATATAATATGATCAGTAAAATATCAAGTGTGAAAATGTCACATTAGATTAAAATTGTGATAGAAATAGAAAGGTCTAGGGATAAAATGAACGCAAAATTCCTAAGAAAGAACCTCATTTTTAAAAAACTGTTAGCTGATTGTTGTGTTTACACTGATCATGCCCTTTATAACTATTACAAATAAAAAATGTACTAAATATGCTGTTGATTCTTTAATGTGTTTGTTTGATTTAAAAATGTGTAGTGATGAATCTAGTTTCTCCAGCATATCTCAAAGACTCTGCAGGTAAGAATTTAAAGACAGCATGCATTCATGAAGTTAAGGACACTTTAGTGATCTTTTCTTTCTACTCCAAGGACTTCCAACTTGTCCAAATACATGATTGATTTTAAAAGACATCTTTCTTACACAAGTTTTTCAGTGCTCCAAAAACAGTAAAATATCTTCTGACAAAGGTTTTGCCTTCTTTTGAGTTCTTTTTGCATTCAGTTTAAGATATCCAATACAAAGGTAGTTTGCATACTTCCTCATGATTTAAGTACACTGCCCATAAGAACTATATTCTCTGTTATAGATTACAAAGTTTATAAAAGGAAAGAAAGCAGCAAAGTATTTTCCAGTCACCCTGAACAAGGGCTTAAAAAAAAATGGTATTTACTTGAGCATTAAGCATCTGGGTAACAATACATTGTGTACTTCAGCATTTCATTATTTGTCTTAATATGCCATCACTGTCTGGATCAGTTTTTAATCTGAGATAGTATTCTAGTCTGTGCATAACCCATACTTTTTAACTCTTGGCCAGTTGGAGAACCAGTGGGCTCTGTGTTGCTGTTTGCTAGTCAGTGTCATTGTTAATGTGGTGCTAGATGGGCATCCCTACTCTCAAGCATTCTACTACAGCTTCATTGAAGTACTGTTTGGTTCTAGTTCATAAAGCAGAGAAGCTGTACTAAAAGGTTGAAACAGGCTGCCCATCTTCGTAAGCCTTTCACTATTGCAGTTAACAGGCATTTTGACTTGTCTACAATTCCCAGACAGCAAATAGCACATAAAAATAGTCTTTGCTTAAGTGTCACCCTAACGGGACCTTAGTTTCCTATTAACTGCCTTCTGTTGTTTCTCTTCCCTTAAACTTAGCTGTAGGCTCCAAAAGGCAAAAGATTTTTATTCACTGATGAACACTGTCTGGCACGTTAGGTAGGCCCTCATTTACTGAATGGTCATGGAAGTTTTTCAATACACATTTCAGTAATAGCTGCTTGTTATGTTTCTCTTTTGACCCATCTGTCTTTGGTTTTGTACACACCCTACTTACATCAATAATATGCTTACAAGTAGCTACAACTCCTTAGAAAACACTACATCCTACAAAACATTTTTGTTTGGCTAATAACAGACGGCTATGAGGAAAAAAAATAATAATGTTCCTTCCTATTCTAGACTCCCAAGGCAGCTAATTATCAAAACCATGTATCCTGGCCAATGCTGGCCATCAGATCTCCACCTTGCTTATGTTAGCCCTTCCCTTCCTGTTTCTCTCCTGTAAAGGCCTAAGGGGCCTAGAACAAGAGTCAGTCCTACAAAGGCAGAAACTACCTAAGCAAATGAGGGCACTGATTGTACCCACACCAGACCCCACCCACTCTTTACCAGTCCTTTAGTCCCACCACCTTTCCATTAACAATGGTCAGTCAAGCAGAAAGGAACAACATCAAGTTTCACTGTTTTCTGCAGGTTGTATTTTAGATGTGTAACAAATATAAACTAAAGGAAAATGGGGTAGTGATTTAATTGTACAAAGCTACAGTTGCTCATTCTATAAACAGCTAAACTTAATCTACTATGATAGATAGCATTTTGGTGGTGTGAAGTTACTATACTTTTCTCAAAATCAGTGATGTTCACTGTTTAGTGGCATATCAGATCAGACCTAATGCAAGCAAAGAATTTTTTTTTTTTTTTTCCCAAGACAGGTTCTCTCTTTGTAGCCCTGGCTGTCTTGGCCCTAACTCTGTAGACCAGGCTGGCCTCAAACTCAAGCGATCCAGTGCCTCTGCTTTCTGAGTGCTGAGATGAAAGGTGTGTGCCTCCACTATCATGGCCCAGCTCAGGCACAGTACTGTCATTGTCATGTTTTTAATGGAGAGGTTAGGGGATTCAGTGGTTATATTCGTTTCAAATGCTGCTATGCAAGGTTATAAGCCCTCAACGCAACCTGAAAGAAAAAGGCTGTGGTTATTAGGTATCAGGCCTAAATAGCTGTGCATTCGAAGGAAATTGCATGGTGCACTTACCTCATACTTCATTTAGCAGTGAGTTGCTTTCCTGGCCTATTCCTTACTTCATCATCTCTCTCTGATGGAGCAGAGAGAGAACAGGAATAAAACTTGAAAACAGATTCTACAAGGCAGATAGAGGTTTCTTGGGAACCTAGAAATTCCAGAGTAATTTGAAAGAGAAGATAACCACCTTGAAGGATACACCGTAGAAAGCTTTTATTAGGAATGTCAAAGTAGTGGAACAAGAATGACAAAGAAGAGAAGCAGCTTCACTTAGTTATAATTAATTTGCAGTGGGAAGAAAAGGCAGGCACCAAGCCAGCATCACTACTTTATAGATAATAAAGTTGGTGGTAATGTTGTGAAAGACATATGGCAAGGTTGCATCAGTGTGGTCAAGCATCACTAAATGGGTGGCACTGTCTGGAAAAGCATATTAGAAAAACATCATTCTGCAATTTGATCCAGAACACTTGGAGCAAGTGTTTTTGGCTGCAAGTAGCATGTGTTTAGATAGCCGTAACAATCGTAATGTAAGGGTATAGCCTGGTCTTTTAGGATCTAGTGTCTCAGTAGGACCACTACTAGAAGTGTAATTCATGTCTCTTTTGTAGCTTGTTGACCCACAATGTTGCTTCTCTACAGATCAGAGCTGTGCACCCAGGAATTCATCTTTATGCTATTTTCTGCCATAGCAAGGAAGGTGAAAAGTAGAAATAGGCTGTTTAAGAAAAATAATTTCGGGGACTGGACAGATGGCTCAGTGATTAAAAGTACTGGCTGCTCTTCCAGAGAACTCAGGTCAATTCTCTGCACCCACATGGCAGCTCACATCTATCAACTCCAGTTCCAGAGGATCAGACATACATGTAGACAAAACACCAATGTACATGTCATTTTAATATATATTCTTAAAAGAGAAAAAGAATGCTAAGAATTGTTTGCCTAATACCTCCCTTTCATCTCTGCTTCACCCCTTTTCAGTTGGTAGTTATTGTCTCCCCTGGGGAGAAAAGCTGTCAGTAAACCAAGCTATAAAATGCTTTTTCTCAATTGACTGATTTAAAAAAAAAAAAATTACTTCAAAATTTAAAAAATTAAAATTAAAAAAATATTTCAAAATTAAAAAAAAAATACTTTCCTAGTATGGCAAAAAGTTAGAATGCTTAATTTTCGAATTACTCACTATTGAATAAAAATTGACAAGATACAGATACACATAAACCAGCTCACCCTTATTTATTTCAGTGAAGACAATCACAGAAAACTAATGACAAAATCATGTAGGTAGGATAGTTCACTTTCGTGAATTGTGGTTTGTTGTGGTCTCCAGTTGTATTCCTTGGGAATTTTAATGTTAGTAATTGATTTCTCATTGAAGGAGCAAAAGCACTGAATCCAGCAGTTTACAAATGGCAGAAGTCAAGTCGATGTTCCGGGAAGTCCTACCAAAACAAGGTATATCTCACAAGTATTTGGGGCATAGGCTACTAGAATCTTATAAAGTCAGCCAAATAGCTAAAGTATCTGCAACTACTTTGGTGTGTATGCCTCATTTATTATACACTCTCACATTGTTTTCATGAGCAAGTTGGATAAAAATTCTCCAATTGTTTATTGTCCAATAAAAGGACAATAAAATAAACAGCACTAAAAATTAAGTGCTGTTTCTTATAACTAGAAATCCTGTTGTACCTAGGTGCAGAGGACAATGTGAACTTGTCACTGACATGAAATTCAAAGGAAGAGTCAAAGTATGGGGAAATTACCCTAAATCAAACTTAGTAAGAAAAGCTAACCAAAATAAGCCATTCATAAAATTGAGCATTCATGTTAAATATTGCACCTTGCTATCTTTTGTGGTGTGTATATATTCTTCCAACTAAACATTTGGCCTCAACAGCTACCTGACCCTTCAGTGCTGAGCAATGTTGCTTGTGGATTACAGCATTGTCAGTCTAGGAGTAGGAACATTTTCACTGACAGCTAAGTTTTTAGACTTACATTCTGGTTGCAAATCAAAACCACCAAGTATCTTCCTCTATTAATTCCTCATTTCTTATTAACAGGGCAGTTGTCTGTGGAAGATGTAACCACAATGGTGCTGTGTAAGCCCAAGCTTCTACCCTTAAAGTCTCTGACTCTGGAAAAGCTGGAGAAGATGCAGCAGGCAGCACAGGATACAGTCCGTCAACAAGAAACGGCAGAAAAAGATGATCAGCAAAGAACCCATTGACCAGTATCACTTAAGAGGACGCCCCATCTTACCCTTTAACTGTTCAGTAATTAGAAACTATTCTGCAGATGTAGGCTGAAACCGCATAATCAAAGTGGGCATTCTTAACATTAAAACCCAGAACTTGGGAATTTAAATATTGGTTTGTGTTAAAAGAAAAACTTTGAACCAGGTTTTATAGAATTTTGAAAAGTTTATAAATTATTCACCATACCATATTGTTATGAATATAAAGATTAAATGCATCTTTTATGGGGGAAGGATTTCTTCGTGTTTATTAGAAACCTTGATCTGAAAATAAACTCTTGTTGGGCTTGTACATTACCAAAAAATAACCAACCAATTGTGTAGCAAGTCATGTTTAATGCTATGTAGCCTGACCATAATGAATGCAGTAATAACAAAACTGGTTTCTTAAACTTGATTTTTAAGAAACTTTCAGCTATAAACTAAAAGCTTAGGTAACTAAGCTTTTAATTACACTAATTTTAATAGAGAATTACAAGGCAGGATCTCTGCGAGTTCAAGGCCAACCTACACAGAGAAACCCTGTCACCAAAAACAGAGAATTTCACATAACTGCTACTCAAATACCAAATACAAAAACCTGAAAATGCTTATTACAGCTATTATATTAGTAAACCAAGATGAGCTTAAAAGAGCCCATGAAGTATGATCACTAAATAAGTTTTCTTTCTAAAAGATCCCTAATCCTGAAACCAAGAAACTATTCAAAAAATTATAAATGTAATGGTTTTCCTGCAATCACTAGACACCTTCAGTTACTATAGACCTTGAAACCTTGCTAAACAGGCTTTATAAAAGAGGCTAGAAATGTGATCCCTTTAAGGTAACTTATTTATTGGTAGTTACATATTGATATTTAGATAAATATAAAGCTTTAAGTACTTGGAGAATACTTTTTTTAAACATGTTAACAGACTATAAGGATAAGAGCTGTTTATATATTAGACAAATTTCACTAAACTCTAGATTAATAAACAAGATCAAGGTGTATGTGCATTTCACTAGTAGAACCTTTAAAGGCCTTTTTCAACCATTACACTTGTTAAAGATTTTTATGCATATGTCTGTGTGTATGCCACCTGTGTGCAGGTGCCCATAAAGCACAGTAAGACATCTGATGCCCTACAGAGCTCAAATTACAGGGGGGTTGTAGGCCCAATGTAGGTGCTGGAACTCCAAGTTGGATCCTATGAAAAATCAGCAACTGTTCACAACTGCTTAGTGATCTCTCTAGTCCTATTTTATTTAAAGTTTGGAGGTTAAGAAAAAGAAAGGAAAAAAACTTTGTCATAGCTCACTAAGCTCGAATGTACTTGTTTTGAAAGCCAGGCATCACTGGTCCATACCTCTATTCCTAGTACTCAAGACACTGAGACAGGAAGACTACCATGAGTTTGAGGACAGCCTCGACTACCTAAAGAGTTATCAAGCCAGCCAGAGCTATAGAACAAGGTTCTGTCTCAAGAAACAATGTAACATTTCTGTTTGTGTTGCACTATTGGGCTTGAACACAAGGCCTAGCACAGTTCAGACAGGAAGTTTTCAAAAGACAAAATAAATGTACTCCCACTAAAGAATCAACACTGCTTCACATGTTTTATTTTGTTGTACATTCTTGTAGAACCAGGTTCATTTTTCCGGTTTTGTAGAAAAATAGATGTTCCAGCCACCATTTACTTAACTGTCTAGTATTTAAGACCAATCAATATGTTCCCTGGAAAGATGAAAAAGTCTCATGACTAACTCGTTTTTTAAAAATTCTTTAAGACAAAAATATGTGTGTGCGTGCGTGCGTGTGTGTGTGTTCTCTGTGTTTACTCTCAAAGCACAGCATTTCCACAGCAGCAGCCAAAACGGGGTTTAGTAGCTTCACTTCACCCCTCACTAAAGCTTTGTATAAACCAGTGATTTTACTACAAAAAACACTGTCCTTGAAAGAAAGGAGTGGCAGTCAGACATCAATGCAAAACTTGGAATGATTAGGTCATAAACATGGCACTTAGAAAAAGTAGCTTATCAGTATAGTCCACAATGAAGTGGTTACTCTTCTATCCCTCCTTTAATTTCCCCTCAAAGGAAATAAAAAAAAGAAAAAGAAAATACTTCCTTCAAAAATTCCCATTAAATGTAAGTTTATAAAATTTCAGAAATGCCTTGTACCCAAAACAAATTCTTAATAAAAAAAAAAAAATCAAAACAAAAAACCCTGTGCTATCAACTCTTACAATTCAGGTCTGTACTCTGTAACACCTAAGGCTGTAAGAGTTCCTGTGCTCAGTAGCTCTCTGGTTTAAGACGACCTCCATCTCCTTCACTGACAAAACGCTTTCTTCCCCTGTAATAAAAAGAACAAAAACAAAATCAGGTAAACATCTGATTCAATGAAAAACATTAAAACCTTGACTCTCCTGCTTATATGCTTAACACTTAAAGGGTTTGCCGTTTAAGGCTAGCCACTCTGAATTCCCTAGAGAAGATGTTTGTAAAAAAAAAAAAAAAAAAAAAAAACCCATATTCTAGACTTACTAGATGTTTTATAAAATATTAGATAACTTATAAATGCTAAAGTCTAAGTAAAATGTCTTCATTTTTCTATTTTAACTTTTGTTTTAATTTTTAGATTAAGTTTATTAGTTAAGTACAAGTAGCTTAGATAAATGCTTAATTACTAATAAACTTAATCTACTTGGACTTACTAATGAAAGTTAAAGTAGAAAAACGAAGACATTTTACTTAGACTTTAGCATTTATAATCTGCCTTATTTGAAAGCAAGTGATCTGCCAGGTGTGGTGGCACACACTTTTAACCCCAGCACTCAGGGAGGCAGAGGCAATTGGATCTCTGTGAGTTCTAGGTCAATCTGGTCTAGAAATCAAGTCCAGGACTGCCAAAGCTACACAAAAGAACCTGTCTCCAAAAAAAAAAAAAAAAAAAAGAGCCAAACAACTTTTAACATGAATTAGAATTATGAAAGATGGAACTGTAAAACTTATCAAAATCTGATAGACTAAGATCAGAAAGAAGAGGAGAACCTCCCCTATCAGTGGACTTGGGGAGTGGCATGCATGCAGAAAGGGGAGGGAGGGTGGGATCGGGAGGGGAGGAGGGAGGGGCTTATGGGGGGATACATAATGAATAAAGTGTAATTAATAAATTAAAAAAAAAAAACTTATCAAAATAGCCACATTTGGCCAGCAAGGTGGTTCAGAGCAAGTAAAGGCTCCTGTTAGCAAACCTAATGATCAATCCTGGGACACAGCATGATGGAAGTACAGAATGAACTCCTACAAACTATGCTGTGACCCACATATGACGTAAGCACACAAATCCACATACAACAAACAAATAAGTAAATCTTAACGAGTGATTTTCTACTTGGCCTTAGGAAAATCAAAATCAGAGTACAGATAACCAAATGAAAATCTAATATCTTCTAGCCTATATGCCCCATCTGGGGATTTTTGACTGTCGTTTGAAAACTCAAGAAACCAAGTAAACTGTGCTCTAGCTGCCTGTAACTAGAGTACAACTGTCCAGCAGCCTACATAATTAAGTGCAAACAGATCGGTACGGGATAACCCCTCACTCTGTCCCCTGACCAACATGTACAAGCATGCAAGATCACACCTAAACGTACACCTAACACAAAAAAGGAAAAACATAAGAGGACAAAAGTCAAAGCTCTTTGGTATATGCTATTCAACTGTAAGAACTCTTCAAATGACTCTTTAGAGAAGCCCCAATTAAAATCAGACTTTCAAACACAAGCCTTCAAGAACACCCTAAAAGCAACCACAAGTAGACAGGTATCTACTCTGTTCTTGGATGGAAGACTACATTAAGTCCAGGGATTCACTGAGGAACAAGAGACCTCGCCAAGAGGGACATTTCACTGATGCCACCTGACACGCGACATGTAGCCCAAATCTATATTTTCAGACATTTCTACTCATTTTTCACCATCTTCCTCTATTAAGATTCTAAACTTTTTAGAGCAAGGGAGCCTACCTAGACAATAGCTTTTCTGAGAGTTCACAAAACAGAAATAAACAAAGCTTACATTTTTCAGACTTCAAAAAAAAATAAACCAAAATAATGTATACAAAAGGTAAGTTTTGGCCCCAAATAAGTATTTAACTTATTATATATTACAAGCTTATTAATTTTAAGGAGAAAAGCCTTTATCAACTCTTAAATTACATCCTAGAGTACAAATATAATTCCCTCCAAAGAAAATCATCCCCACATGCAGTTTCTAGCACTGTCACTTTTCCATCACGTGCAGCAAAGGAAGCTACTATCAAGTACGGCAAAGAGTTTAGACCTTTAAAGTCCAAAAAAGTTAATGTACTAGTCATGAGACCTTGAAGGTTTATTACATGATCCTCAATTTTCTCATGTGACTGGTGGTAATACCTACTCTAAAATAACATTTAGTAGCATCCTGGTAAACATGTACACTATAAAGTTAGTTTCCTCTGAATGACAGTTGCAAGCAACAAAAAAGCTTCACACTTATCTGTCTATAAACTCTAGGTTCTTGCTTTCCAGTCACTTCAAAAAAAGACACTTCATTTTTCTGACAAACAGAATGATGAAAAACTACCTTAGCTTTTCCCCAAGTATCTCATTCAGTATTTTTTTTTTAATGAGAAGGTATTATTTAAATGAAGTACCTTGATGGACAAAGATCTCGAAGTTGTTTAGAAATGATTCCAGCCTGAAAACATTCCTCCACAAATCTCTCAAGCACAGAGTATGAGTGTGGGACATCCAGATTGATATCTGGAATTTCATTGTAAATTCTTTCATAACCCTGTAACAAAATTACATGTACAACTGTTAGCATGTATAAAAATGTATTCCTGGAAACAACACATCACTGTAACATAAACTGATACAGTGAAAAATGGCAAAATAAGTCAGATCTGAACCTTAAACCTGTATTCTTTTAAAGATTCTCAAAACAACTCCAGGCAAATGTCAGACAGTAAGCAAATTACCTATCTACTTCTCATCTACATTTACTATCTTGTATAAAAATGTAGATAATTTCACCAACATTTCATAAAACACAATTTTAAGAAATGTAATTTAAGTGTTTTCTCTAGATAGAAAATATATGTGTAGGTGTGTGTGTGTGTACATACATACATACAAACATATCACATGTCACAAACTAAACAATATTAAAGAGTCAAAAAAATAAACCCTGAAGTGTTATTTTCCACAAATATAAAAAAGCCAAACAAAATCTATAGGCACAATACTACACATGCCCTAAATGAAACTTTCATTAACAATTCATAACCCTTATTCAATCATATAATTCGGTACATAACTTTTACAAACATACTTTAAAATAATGTCAACATACTCTTTTCATTTGGTCTACGGTGATGGTAGACGACTTCCACAAGGATTTTAATAAACCTAAGATCATCTTGAATGCACTTTCTCCAGTTGACTCTAAAACCATTACAATGGCCTAAAAATTGAACAGAAAGAGTAAATGAACTTTTGGTGATCAATTCCTTAGAAACTGCTCCTAAAAACATATCCAATCTCTCCTCTAGTGATTATATGCTTTTGTAATGATTATATAAACTTGTAAATTATTTTAATATTAAAAATCTATATTATTAAAGAATCATTGGTCACCTGTGGTATAGAAGGAACACCTGACAATCCTCTTTGTTGTGAGAATGTAATCTTACCTCATATACAAGCTCATGGTGAAAATGAGGTACTTCCAGTTCCTTCAGGCAGTGTTCAGCTTCAGATACATCTCCAGAGAGTAAATACTCCTTAAGCAGCATATCAATCTATTGGATTTAAAAGTTGAAATGTTAGAATTTCTAATTTTTAAGAATGTTTACTTGCCTAAATGATTTATTTACATTTCTACCAATACTGAACATAGGAATTTGGCATAGTAGTATCATGAAAGAAGTTTTTCATAATTAAAAAGTAAACTCCATGGCTCTGAATGGTTCAATTATAAAATAAAGCAGCACCTGGTTTTCTAAGGAATCTCTGGTATATGAAAGTAGGTTTTATAATATAGATGACCTTCCTCACTGCTCAAATGTATCCTGTTAAAAACAAGGGATGCAGGGACTGGAGAGACAGCTCAGCAGTTGAGAACCTGACGCTAGCTCCCATCACTCATGTTACATGGTTCACAGCAACCTGTAACTCCAGCTCGTGGGATCCTGCATCTCTGTCCTCCATAGGCACCTTAACTTACATGCAATATCTACACACATATATCTAATTAAAATAATTTTTTAAAGGGCAGAGGGTTTTTTTAATACCTCTAGAGGGCAATAACTTAGTCTCATCATTTCAAGATGCCAGAAAATATCAGGATGATTTTAATGCAATGGAAGCCAAAAAATAAGCTAATGGGGTATTACTATAAGGCCAAACATTTCTATAGTTTCTCTTTTCTCTAAAATTGACGATCTGAAACTCAGTATCTAAAAACACCCAGTGGGGCTGGAGAGATTGTTCAGTGGTTAACATCATATTAGATGCTCTTCTAGAGGACCAAAGTTCAATTCCCAGCACCCCCATGGTAGTTGACAACTACATAGTAAGAGCCATGTTCTGGCCTCCACAAACACTGCAAATACGTGCTACACAGTCTTATATACAGGTAAAGCACCCAAACATATTAAACCCTTAACTTAAAAAATAAAAACATTCAGTAAGTGAGCTTCGTTCACAGCAAGAGACACAATTCTTGACTTCCAAACAAACTAAAGTTTGAGGGTGTCATTTATGGCTCTAAGAAAAAAAAAAAAAAAACTGGTAAATGTTATTTCAGCAAAAGATCTTCAACTACAAATAATCTTCCTTACAAATTATCTGGGAAAATCACATTTGTATCTAGTGGCACCAGGTGAATTTTGACTGGATGAATAAGATTATTTTATCTAAATATCCTCAACTTCAACTATCTTCATAAAAAGTAAAGTAAAAATCTACCACTAAACTACATCCTAATTAGAAATTTTTTTTTTAAAGTATATATCTAAGGCTGGGTAAATGGCTCAGTGGTAAGAGTGCTTGCACTGCAAGCATGAGGACCACTGTTCAGAAGCTCCACAACTCACATAAAGTAGTAAACCAAGAACAGCTGTACTGACGTAATTCCAGCATTGCTGGCCAGAGCCAAGTGGATCCCAAAAGCTCACTAGCCGGCAGGTCAAGAAAAAAGAGCCAACTTCTGGTTCAGTGACAGACCCTATCACAAAGCCACGAGGTGGAGGGTGAGAGAGGGAGACAGCTACTGTCCGTGCCTGTGCACACACACAGAAACTCACAGCTCAGATGAGTGCACCACATCACACTGTACACACACACACACACTGACTCCACGCAAAGAATGTTTAACGTAAACCTGTGTACCATATATTTAATATAACATTAAATATCTGAAGCACTTTCACTAAACTACAAGATAGTTACTGTTTACGTTACATTTGTTAAGGAACACACAGAGCTGAATGAAGTACAGTTCCGTGGCCGGCATCACTTGCAGCTCTCGCAGGGGACTGGCTCCAGTTCCCAGCACCACACAGTCGCTCACAAATGCCCCTAAATTTAGTTCCAGGGAATCCAAAGTCCTCTTCTGGCCTCCACACACACATGCTGCACATACAGACAGGCAAGCACACAGGCATATACATAAATCTATAAAAGATGTTTTTATAAAAAGTAAAACAAACATTCCCCATCAGATTCAATGCATGTCTTCCAAATAAGTCACAAAACCATGTAAAGATTTCTCAAGTCTTTTTACTTGACGCTTGCTTCCATTTAAATGATTATCCAAAATAATGTCATATATTGTTGGTTTTATTTCCTGTCTATTTTAATTGAGATTATTTATAGTCTTAAGAGTTTATCAATTTCTCAAAATATCACCTTCAGAGAGTATCTCCATATTTATAATATTATCAAATAATCCATAAATGTGGCATCTTTTGGTGTATAAAACTTAAATTTCCTTTGTTAATTTTAATCATATTCTGTTTTTATGCTATTATGAATATAGTTACATTTGCATTTCTGATTATTCATTCAATCCTAATGTATAAAGAACTGAATTTCATGTATTGATTTTGTATCATGAAATTCTGCCAAACTATTGGTCAATATTTGGTTTGGATTTTTGGAGTTTCTTTGTGGATTCACCTGGATTCTTTAATCTACATGGCACTTGCACTGAAAACAGCTAGTTTTACATCTTCATTTCTAGTCAGAATGCCCTTTATTGCACTTCCTTGCCTATAACAATTTTTATATTTTATTTTGTAATTCTTCAAATTTTTAAAATATATTACAGTCATGACCTGACCTATCTACTCTAACATGAAAAACAAGGATGGTCCATGTTCTAACTACCCGTTTAAACTGCTTACCACTTAAACCAGATACATGAGAGTTAAGGAGAGAGCTCATTCAAATAAGTGCTTGTCATGTAAGCTTAATCACCTTAGCTTGATCTTCATAACCCATGTAAAAACTGGGTGTGGCATGCTTCCACTCTCACAATTAGAGACACAGACAAGGAGACACGTGGGCTCGCTATCCAGCAGCCTCATCATGGGTAAAGTCTCAGTTAAAGACTATGTCTTAACAACTAAGGTGGAATAACACCTGAAGTGACCTCTGGGCTAAAACACACATGAACATGTACATACACATACATACATACACACACACACACCAAAAAAAAAAAAAAAAAAAAAAAACTAATGGAGCCAAGAGCAGTGGTGCACACCTGTAATCCCAGCACTCCGAGAGGCAGAGGCAGAGGCAGACAGATCTTACATTCAAGGCCAGCCTGGTCTACAAAGCAAGTCCAGGACAGCCAAGGCTCCACACAGAAAACCCTGTCTTTAAAATAAAATAATCTAATTGAAAAAACAAAATGAAAAGGAATACACTAAAACAAGCATATAAACTACAAAACCTTCTAACTGCAATCTCAAAAATCTGCAGTTAGATTACATTGTTTCCATTCGTTATAAGACACCAGAGGAAAATCCATAGGAATCAAATCTTGCATTTTAATGAGATAACTCAATTACTTTTCTTCTAAAAAATGTAGTGAACATCCTTACGAAGCTCTAGCACTCTGATTACTCTAATGTTCATAATTCCTAACTTATAATTTCAGGATACTCAAACTGCTCACATATAACATATATTGACTAGTTACAAATAGTCTTCCCTCAGCAGCATTTCAACTTAAGCCTAAATACTATCACAAACAAGATTCCAGGCACTTCTTACACACTCACGGACAGCCTTGTAACTACTCATCCCTTAAACGTTCACAGACAACATTCTTATATTCATGAATGACCTCTTAGTAGTCATGCTATTGAAGCACAAAAAATGGGGAAACAAAAAAAAAGCACAAACAACAATTAGATAATTTTTTCTAATTCATAGATTATTCAGTTTTGTACTTGCAGCTACATGACTGAATTGAATTCTTGCCCACAAAAATACCACCTAGCAGTTTTGTTGCTTTATCTTTCCAAGGAATCCATATAAGCTGAAAACAACGATGGTAAGTACCTCTTTGACCAGGTGATTGACAGACTGCTGCCCACCTCCACACCCCCACACACTGTCTTTGCGCTTTCCACCTTTAGACATACTCAGGAGCACAGTAGCCTTATCCAGAGCAGCTCTATCAAAGAGACAAGGACAAAGAAAAAATGTTTCATTTGATACACAGACATGCCACACTATCAATAAAGTTTATGAAACTGCATGTGTACTGACAACTTTCATGTAACAAAAATATAATTTTTGAAAATAACTTTTCAAATAAAAAAATTGTTTTCATGTTTTTTACATCCATTTCTCATTTAAAAAAAAAATCAAAAGTACTTGTAAAATAACTGAACTGCAGCCAGGAAGGAACACCTCATATACAACTTTCATATAGATTCACTCTTCCCACCCAGGGAGATTGTTCTACTTGGACCTGAAGTAGCCCATGAAATAGCATCTGTTATTTGGGAAAGCCTACGGCATGGCTGTCTAAAGTCTAAGTCTTCAGGAAGTTTCAAAAAGTCAAACAATACATGTGGCTTATAATTCACTAAATCAAAGAACAAAATAATACTAAACAAGGTTCACTAAGGCAACTCTTACTAAAACACTAAAAAACTTCAGGTGAGAACCAGAAGGTTCTGTGAACACTACACACCCAATGCTTTCATTTTACAAGTAGGGAAACTGAGGCCCAGAGAAGGGTGGCTTAAAAAGAGGGAACCTAATAATTTAACTCAGAACTGCATTTTGTTGCTGTCATCTTCCTATTATTTCACACCAACAATATTTTAACAGTGAAGAATAAATGACAAATACATGTTCCCAACATTTGATTAATACAAGTGTCATTTTACAGGATGCTGCAGAATTTCCCATTTTGAAATTATAAGTAGCACACATTAATTTACTTACCTAGCCTGTACACAATCTACAGTTCCTTTGTAACTATCAATATAGGTATTACATAAGATTCCATCTCCAACAGCTCTCGCAATAAACTGACCCACCAACTATATAATAAGAAAAAAAATTGTATTAAAAAAACTAAAATAAATCTCTATTAGGACACAATTCTGAAATGTATAAATGATAAAAACTGGCTAAATTCACAATCCTAAAACACGTTAGGACATGCAAAGCACCTACTTGTTATGTGTGGTGTACACTGACTTCAGGTACACCATCAGGACTGATAGAGGTACATGTTTTTCTCACTACTTAATTCCCAATACTTTGTACACTGCCTCATTCTTAACATATGATCAATAATATCTACTACAAAGACTTAAAAGTTAAGGAAAAATCTCTTTTCTTAAATAAAATAACCCAGAATGTTTTCTCAACCAACTATAAAATTTATCTGGTACAGAAAAGTTATGCAAAAATAAATGTCAATTTCAAAGTCTGATCATAGCAAAATTTATTACAGAAACTGAAAACAACCTTATCGTCTAACAGTAAAAGTATGCTTAAGTAGTACATAAAAGGCAAAGTACACTATGGGGCCACAGGAAAAATTTGCCACATTTTTGTAAGAAAAATCAAATGTACAAAACAGTGTATGTGGTACAATTCCATGTTCTAATTAAACAAAGGTAAAAGGACACTGATAAATAACCAAAATCTAGAAATGAAAAATAAGTTATCAAATGTTAACAGATTTATGTTGGAGATTTTTCCTTGCCTTTCTTCATTTTGGTTTTTATGCATCAAAGACTCTATAATTAATATGAGCTCAGATGATCATTTTTAAGGGTATATATAAAAAGGGGAAGGTTATTAAGTCCATTTTTGACTCATAGAAACTGCCTGCTACAGACACAATATTTACAAACTCTCTATAAACTGGAATTATATGCAAATATTAATAAATAGCAATTACATGTTTTTAAGGTTACAAAACAGAACAGCTATTGCTTGTAACTGTTTTTAAATCACACAGCAAAAAACATTTATATTTTATATTTTTAAGATTCTTCTATATGATAGAAACTACATGAGCAGAAAATTCACATGTCCATATGACCTAAAAACTATCAGAGCTGGATGGAAAAGCAGTAAGATGTAAAACCTAGTTTCATTTCATCAAGGCTGTTTGAAATCAGCAGAAAGGCTAGGTAGTGGTAGAGCATGTGCCGACACATGGGTAGCCCCTGGTTTACTACATAGTACAGAAAATATAAACAAAATTAGGAAAAAAGACCTAAAAATATGCACAGCTATGTTGTATAGTAAGAAATGTAGGTCATTTCCTTTACAGCTATTAAAATTTATTAGGAGCATGTATTATTTCTACTATCATTGTGTAGAAGAGAAAGGAAATGAACAGAAAGAAAACAAGTACTAACTAACCTGTGGTGCTCTAGGGGTATCCAATGCTAATTCAGGCAGATCCTTCAACAACTTGTCAAATGATTTTTCCACATCATTTGTACTCATTACTGTCCCACAAAGGTCCGAAAGCAGCTTGGATGTCATTTCTCGGTGACTGGCCTTCCCCTCCAATGCTAAGGACACTGCCAACACGGGCACTCCGCTTTTCATCTCACCAAGGTTCAAATCTCTTAACATCTCCTGTTTAAAAGAATGAAGATAATTACTTGTCACTATAGCTCAGCACAATATTATTTTTATAGTCGTGCTTTTTGTCTATCTTTACACCTCCCTTTCTTTACTAGTATCAACAGTCATATTTAGCAGGTCTAAAACAATGATACATTTAACTGCCCAAACATACACACTTTTGGGATGTGAAGAAGGGTGGAAAAGTTCATTCAACTACCTAATTAACTAATCATCTATTTTGAAATCTATCACTATTATTTCTACAAATACTTTACAGACATTTGTGAAGAAATTCATTTTTATACAGGCTCTATATATAGTCTAGTTAAAACTTTTCTCTTTAAGACTGAGTTTTGAGTTCCATACCTTAAATCCCAGCAATTAAGGAGGGAGAGACAGGAAGACCTCAGAGTCCAAGGCCAGCCTGATCTTACAGAGTGAGTTCCAAATCAGCCAGAGCTATGTTTAGTGTTTAAGTGGGATTAATGTTTTAAATGATGGAATAAAAAAATTCAACTCATCAATGTTATCAAGCATTATACCACTTCATTTGATTCTCAAAATAACCCAAAGTGGAATATACATAACCTTACAGAAAGAGTTCTGATGTGGTTACTTAACACTGCCGACTTTTTAAGTTTTCTTGAAATTTTTTAAACCACAATATACAACTAGGAGAATGCCAATACCACTAAGTACTAAGTACTACCCCTAAGTACTATCCTGGTTAGTAATCTTTTTCTACACCCTTTCCTCTTCCTCAACTGCACTTTTAAACGTCATACTCATTAAAGATAATCTTCAACTGTGATGTGGCAAACTCAAATTCCTAAGTATCTTTTCATATGGCTAGAATCACCTCTTTCCTGACCTCTATTTTATACTTCCACAGCACTGCCTTTAACACAGCCACAGGACACAACCGCTCAACAGGTGGAGATTCAAATATCAGAGTCCTTACCTTCATTAAACTTAAGCTCTTCCTCTGAACTGAATATTCACCTATCATTTCCTTTACCTAACCAACCTTGACCAAGGGAGGAATCACAGGTCACAAATCTCTCCACATGGCATGTGTTTTTAAGGGTTTCCTCCAAGATTGAAATATTACATCAGGCAGAGAAACTCTTTTATTTGTTTATGTCTTTTTTAGGGTTTCTTGGTAGTGGTAGCTTTGTTTTTTGTTATTGTTTGCTTTTGGTTTGTTTGGTTTTAGGTTTTTTGTTTGGTTTTGGGTTTTTGTTTTTTTGGGTTTTTGTTTTTGTTTTGTTTTTTTGGTTTGGTTTTTTTTTTTTTTTTTTGAGACAGGGTTTCTCTGTGTAGCCCTGGGTATCCTGGAACTCCCTTTGTAGACCAGGCTGGCCTCAAACTCACAGAGATCCCCCTGCCTCTGCCTCTCAAGTGCTTGGACTAAAGACGTGTCACCAGGCATCTCTTAAAAAAAAAAAAAAAAAAAAAAAAAAAAGCAACAAGGATTTTTTAAAAAAAAAAAAAAAAAAAAAAAAAGCCTGATAAGGTCTTTTAACAAGGTTAAACAACTCAAAAAAGCTTCAGGAAGTCTCTGAAACTGACCATATTCAGTAGGCCTTTACCTACAGAGTAAACAGAGTCAATCTACAAATAAGCACAGCCAAGCTAAGCTACAAAGACAACTGAGACCAGACCAGCTGTACACAAGAGGTTTAAAGCAACTGAGGCACCTGGAAGGGACACTCTCCAACTTGTTTTTACAGGTTATACAGTGTGCTCCACATTCCAAGTTTTGTGAGCTGTCATCTACACTAGAGTAGGCTTTGGTAGTAGAGCAGTCTGAGTGACTTCTCCTCTAAGTAAACCCCATCCATATTCCTGAAAGTAACCCCAATAAACATCAGTGGTTCAGCAAATTGGATTTCGGTTTATCTGTACTTTGGTCTGTCATGGTTTCTGTATCCGGGGTGATGTGTGTTGTGTCTCCCCAGGAAAAGTTTTGTCACGCAACATAACTGACACCCAAACAGAGACATGAGAGTACCAAAGATGAGCTGGGAGGAGTGAGTGCATAGCCCTGACAAGGCATGGAAATAGAGCTGAGAAGCCTGAGGGTGGAGCATCAGTGGAGGATATTCTGATACAGTGGTCCTTGCCTTTATGGAGAGTGTTTGCATTTTTGTGCTATGTAAGAGGTTGCATGGTTCTTGCTATTGGTAATGAGACATGCAACTAAGACCAAGCCATCAGGATTAGTAATGTCTGTGGGAGAACTCCAGGACAGGAGTCTATGTCTACAGAGTATAGGTGGCATGCATGCTTGATAAATGGGGTACACCATGGGATAGGGATATGCTATGAAAACAGTTAAAATTTTAGCATCAGTTCTCAACCTGTGAGTTACAACCCCTTAGGGTTGCATAGCAACTACCCTGCAGATCAGATACTTACATTATGATTCATAACAGTAGCAAAAATCAGTTATGAAGCAGCAATGAAATAATTTAACAGTTAAGGGTGTCACCAAAACATGTAAAAGGTCACAGCCTTAGGAATCCTGAAAATCAACAGTGTAAAGGAAATGTTGAAGTCTTTAACATTAGCAGAGAAGAAGCACAGAGGTTGCCTGTTCATTCTTATGTGTAGTTAGAAATGGACCTGAGGCTGAGATAGCTGCCAAACAGGAACTTGTTTGTGTAAAGAGAAGCAATTACAACAAGAAAGGGAGTTATGGCTAGCACCCTCCATGTTAGCCTCTAATATGGCAAGTAAATTAGATAAACAAGAGGATGAGATGGAGGTACTGACTTGCTGCTTCTTAAGGTTTGGGGACCAGAAGGAAAACAGCAAGTTAGATCCATGCTCAAAAGCTCTTCCTAGGAGCCAAGACCTTGGAACCCATAGGAAGATTCAGAATGAGGAAGAGATTATGGTAAAAGTGACAGAAGATACTCTAGAGTTCCAACTGTTAATGGAAAAATCAATGACCCAGAACACGGTCTAATGCAAAAAACTAAGGTGATCAGGAAATACTCAGCACTTGAACTTCTGGAATTAGGAAAAACTTTTAAGCAAGTAACAAAACAGCCTGTTTCAGCCTGGCTTGTGAGGCTGTGGGACATGGGAGAGGACGGGCTCAGACTACTGTGGAGACAGGAAAACTGAGTGATGTAACTTCCCACCCCTGCATACTCTGAGACTGTGTGAGGGAAATCGGTGTCTAGTGGACTGGCTTACGAACGCCATTAGAACACTTGGCTATCTCCATCTGAGGTCTCCATAAACAGCAGGGGCTGAAGTACCTAAGAGAAGGGAGAGGTGCTACTGAGGGAACTCGGAGTAAGAGGAGCTATGTGTGAACCCCAGTTCCCCAGGGCAGGTAGAACTGTGTTCACAGGGAAGTCAAAGGAAAGGTTGATCCAGCAGGGACCTCATGGCTGGTATGGAGAATTAGTGGCTTTGCTGAGACCTCTGGTGGCACAAGATCTTTATAAAGTAGGAAGAGCTTTGACAGATCTCAGCGGCTTATAACAAGATGTCTGTAATGTGAGAGGAGCCTGGAAGAGAAGACAAAGCAGAGAAGAGGTCTGAGATTATGTGGTGGGATTCTGTCTCACTATATCTCCTAGGAGGCGTCTAGACTGCTTTCTAGCCTGTCTTCATAGAAGACACCCATGATACAACAATACAGGTGAAGATGATCAAGCCTGTCCCAGGGATGGTAATTATCTCCCCAAGACTTAAAAAAGGGTACATTTCCCTCCAGCAAAAGCTTATGCTAACGACAATGATGGTTTGCCCAGCTACGACTCCATCCAAAAGACCACTATGGTGAATGGAAAGGCTTACAGCCACTATGCCAACCCAGGACCACTCTGACCAAGGGAGGGCAGCATATGCAGCAGGGGAGAGCATTCACCTTTGGCCATGAGTAGTTATGAGCAGAATAAGTCAGACTACTGAGTTTCTCAGGTTTGGAGAAATGTAGGGAGACTCCATAGAAAAGCTCCAGGATTAGAAACAGGAATAACAGTAAATTAAGTTAGTGTCTCTCATCCATGTTTTGTACCCAGTCTTGATCTGTGGAAGAAGCAACTGATACAAATGGATGGAACCTTCTGCTGTATTGGACCTTGCTTATGTCCTACTTTAGTGTCTCTACTTGTGAACCTCCGGCTCCGAGAGATTACAATAGGCTTTCAGAACGCTTCACCACAGTTATCTCTGTAGCCCCCTCTTTGTTACATGTTGATGCACTTGAGTGTCACCTTGTCCTGCCCATCCTCTGGAAAATTTGTTGTATAGATGACATAATGCTGAGTGTTTTTGGAGATCTGATAATGTACCTAAAGGGCATATAGATCCATCTACAGGAATGACTGAAAGGACTCTAGATAGCCTAAACAGAGCAAACATGGCTATGGCAGGCCTTGCCCTTTTCCCACATTCCCTCTGCCTTGCTCAAAAAAAAAAAAAAAAAAAAAAAAAAAAAAAAAATTAGATTACATTCCTAGAGCTAGCCCTCAAGGTTGATTCCCTTATTTGGCCACTTCCCCCTGAGACTGACTATGTAGACCCAGCTATCAAAGCACTGAAGCCCCAGCAATCAAAAGCCCCTTTTGCTCACCTAATTAACATACCCAATCAAAATTAAACACTCATCCTAACAGGGTTAGGGTTTCTCCTTTTACCTATACAGTTGCCATTTGCCTATGGGCCACACCTGTCTCCTCTCTCTCTAGAAACCTTTTGTCATCGTCCTGGCTCCCCCACCGCATCACAAATAGCCCTTCCCCCCCTTCTCCCTCTTCCTCTATCTCCTGTTATTGTTTCTTATTCCCTGCCCTTTGTCCCTCTAGGAAAAATAAATCTGCTTTCTGCTGAGAACTTGGTCTTGGGGTATCTTGAGCCAATACTAGTCCCTTCGATAAAGATGGGAGACAAGCCACAAATGCAACAGCCAGGCACAGGTGTAAAATTCTTGGCAGTATGATGATCTAGTCTGGTAAGACACATATGATACCTGACAACATTACTGTCAAAATCCTACAACAGACTAAGCCTGCAAATATAAAGGAGTCACAGGCATTTGGGGAGCTCTTAGGATATTAGCAGATTTCATACCTTATCTTGTCCAAGCTGTCCATCCTCTCTATAAACTGCTAATGAAAGGGGTTACATGAGATTGGCACAGAAATGCTCAAGTGGCTTTTGAGCAGGCTTAGATCATTGTAGGACAGGCTAAATAGCAGTGTGCCCCACCAACCCAATGTCTCTTCCTGTTAGAAATCACCAGAAGTTGATAAGACTATAGCTGGGGGCTTGCAAAAGCAACCAAAGCAAAATTCCATTAGGGTTTTGGTCTGTTATAGAAAGGAGCAGAAGCTCGGTGCACAGCAAAAGAACAGCAACTGTTTAGTGTTATTTAAAGCATGGCAACAATCTACAACTGGTTTTTACCCTAGTGACTTACAAGCAGGTTGCCCAATAAAGAGCTAGACTGAAGGCCTCCTGGCCAAACTGCTTTCTGGTGTTGCATAGAAGCAAATGCTATGTCAGTGGCAAACATACCTAGGGCAGTGAGAGGTGGGTATACAAGCTGCATCATGACTGTCATGGAGGCTGTCCCAGGAGCCCTGACCTCTGAAGCTGCTGAGCATCCCCCAGTAATTGAACCATCAGCTAAAGAGTTAACATCCAAACAGTTCCCTACATGAGTGGAAAAGGACACTCCCAGAAGCTTTAGGGATTGTTGACTGAAAACCCCAATGCCAGGGATGTGAGTTGTTGGCTAGGGAAGCCCACGAGGCCCCACAAATCGTAAAACCCACTGCTATTACTGTTGGTTGTGTATCAGTACTAGATGGTAAGACCCTGTTGCTGAAAACACTGCATTTGCATGTTCTGGCTACAGCACATGGACAGATTAAGCTGAGACTGAACCATAAACTCCCACTCAGCTGGCTGGCTTTCCCAGTGCCAGAAAAGGCCATGCAGGCTGCTGGTTGAGAACTGTCACCAGCATTCCTGCTTGGCTATGGACCTTGTAACACTCTAGACAGGATGTGTCTGCTTGTGCAATAGTGACTTGGCTGTCACAGGTAAGACCAACAATTTTCCAACTGGATTCAAGCGTACACCACAAAATAAGAGTTCACATCTGGTACTGTAAGCCAAGACAAAAGCCTGCAGCTAGGGAGGTCCTAAGTCCAGTGGGGAAGCAACTTGTATGTTTGTTTGTTTGTTTGTTTGTTTTTAATGGATGTGATACTTCTGTCAAACTGCCTTCTAAACGTTGTTTACACCTATAAGTCACCGTATGTTATCAGCCTCAACTCATAACCACCGGTGAAGCTCCTGAAAACAGGTAACATATGTGGCACTTCCTAGCCATAGGGGGACATCTGTAGTCAACCCCTCCAAGGCTCAGGGATCACTACAGAAAGGCAGAAAAAATGTAAGAGCGGGAGTAAGGGGTGAAATGTTGTATAACAGTTTCCTCTAAGACTTAAAATATCCCATCCTGCAGGAAAGCTCTTTAAACAGCAAAATACACAACTCAAAACAGCTTCAGAAAAGTCCCTAAAACTGATCAGATTCATTACATCTCTCCCTGCCAGAGTGAGCAAGGCCAAACTGCAAAGACTTACAGAGGAAAAACACAAACACCTTTGAGACAAGACCAGACCAGCAGCCTGGAAGAGCAGAAACCAGCCAAGCTGCCTACAAGAGGTTTAGAGCAAATGAGGCACCTGGAAAGAGCACTCTCCAATCTGTCCAGCTGTCTGCAGGCTGTGCAGTGTGCTCCAGCTTTGTCAGCTTTGTCAGCTTTGCCAGCTGTCACCCATGCTAGAGTGCTAGGCCTTTGGTGATGCAGCTGTCTTTGAGTCACTGGTTCACAAAATTGGACTTTGGGGTAGCTATACTTTGGAGTCATTGGTTCCCTATGGATTCAGTAGACGATTGTGTGTTGAGTCTCCCCAGAAAAAGTTTGTCACACATTAGTGTATAATAAACAAGTACCTGTTTTATATACTGCAATTATATACTGCAATTCTATGTATCCAAAGATACCAAACCTATATAACAAACAAAATCAAAAAAGTCCAGCTTGGACTTTAAGAATTATAAATGCCTTCCAATTAGTTACTGTTCTATTTCAGGCCTATAATTATAATGAAACCAGGTATTTAATTTTACCCTTCTAGATTTACTTTATGAACAATTCACTACAAACCCATTAAATATTCCCATACAAATTAGGATTCAAAACTTACCTGTATACATTCTTTTTCCATATCTCTGTATAAATGTTGCTTTTATAAATGTACATAATGTATATAAATATATAGTTTATAAATACATAAATATATTTTCTAAATATATAAATGTTATTTATTAAATTATTATAATGTATATAAATCTATAAGTGTATATAAATGTACAGACACATTTTAATCTCATTAAAAACAATCAGGCAGTACTAACTGAGGCCCCTACAGAGGTTTCACAGAGTCTATAAATTCCCTAAAATTCTTTAGATTATAAAACCAGAGGCTATAAATGTACTAAAATAGTGGTTATATTATTTTCCCCAGAGAGAAATGGCATATACGTTTCCTCAGAGCCCAAAGATACATAAGAAAAATTATTGAACCATAAAATTTTATGCCTCTTTTTCTTTTTCCTTTTGAAGCCCTATGTAGCCCAGACTTGCCTCAAACTCAAAACTTTCCTACCTACCTTTACCTCTCCAGTCCTGGAATTTTAGGCATAAACTACCACGTCCAGCCCACTCCCTTCTTGGTTAAGAAATTTTTTGTTGTCAAAAATGAAAAAAAAAAAAAAAAAGAAATCTAAACCTCTCCACAGAGTGAGCCAACTCATTTTCTAAATATGTTTTGTTTATAATGGGTTTTTTGTTTGTTTGTTTGTCCCTGCAGCTTAAAACCTACCGCAACTTCATTCGTATCTCCATGCTCAAAATACTCTTGTATAATTGGTGTTAAAGTCTTCTCAAACGCTGTCTCATCCAGAGGCAAAACTACAGTTTCATAAACACAGTTCTCCTGTAAAAAGGAGGATCATAAATTAAATACTCAGTTAAACTGAAATTATCATTTCATACTCCAACTGGTTAGTGATTATCAGTAAGACAAGATAAAGATATTCCACCTATTCAAATCATTTCTATGGAGTAAAGAATGAGAGAAGACTGCCTGTGAGTCTATACAGTGGCAGTGGTAAAGCTGGAAGTATGTTCACGATACCAATTATACTTCTTAAATCTTTCCATTAAAAAGCAGAACTTGACAATGAATCACTAAAACATTTCTTACTAAGTGTTAGCATGATAGAAAATGCATGTGTCCCCAGAACAACACATATATTAGTTCTCATGCAAAATAGTGACTCTGAAAGGGAACCTACGGCCTGTGACCCATAAACCCCAGAGAACTCCTTCACCATCACTACTAGTACCAAGTCAATAAAGACCTGATCTTGACTCCCAAAAATCAAGAGGAAATTATACACACTTTACTATCGAAAAACTACTTTTTAATCTAAAAATAAATTAGTAACCAGAAAGTACCGAGTATATATAATTTTGCATACATACTGCATATGCCTTTATAACTACAGTGCATTGATATCTGATCATATGTCACTTGAGAAGCTTATGAGTGAAAAAATCAAGAACTCTCACAAACATTGAGTATATATATAAGAATAATAACTGGTACCTGGTCATCATCATAGTTTGGATCTTTCACATCCACCTCCTCCACATCATACACCTGTCCAGGTGGACCCCAGACACCCTTGCCTCCTGCACCACCTGAAAGTTCAGATGATGGTTCACAAATATTAATCAAAATCTGGAATAATTTCAAATGTGAAAATTCTTATGCTAAGTATTTTCCAATTGAGAATTATACTTGAAATTCCTATTTAGATCACTTTTTCAATAATAGATTATCTATTTTCAAAAGTAGCAACTCAAAATAACTTAGCTAGAAACTAAGGCAGATTCTTTAAAATGTTTTCTTAATCTGAGTAACAGCCATATCACAGCCTTCAGAACATGACATTGTGATGAAGCTCTAAAGTTTGATATTTCTTGGAATCAGAAAAAGAAGAAAGAGAAGAAACATGGTAGGCCAGTAAATGTGGCATTAAAACCTCAACATATGACAAATTATTCCACAAAGAACCATAATGACCACCACCAAATGCTTTAATGTCTAATATTCCTCCACATGAAGTACACATTAAACTATACCTTGAAATCTGCAGTATGTTAACAAATTACTAATTGCTATGTGAGAATTAACAGCCCTGACAACTGTCTCTCTACTTGTGTATACAGACCAAAGAGTACATCAACTCAGCAAGCTGCTTTTCCATATCAACCTACTGTAGAATTTTCCTAAGGCCAAATTTGTCTAAAATGATAACTTTTTAAAAAGCCTTCATAATGCCATTGCTCCCTTTTTAAATTTTCATTATGTACCTGGAATATAATCCTTGCCAACAAAGCAGACCAGAATCAGATAACTATGTATCATTCTGATTCAAATGATCATGGAGTTATTCACAAAATAATTTGGCAAAGACCACTATATTGTATCTGTGTTGTTAATATATTTATCTTTCTCTACTCCCCTTTTAAAAAAAACTTTTCCATAACTATCTTTTTGTCTTGGCATTAGTTCTAGGTTCATTAATAGAAGATGCTAAAATTCAATCTCCATTTTCATTTTCCCTTCCTTCCAAGCACTTTCATCACAAATTATCAGAGACTTAAGTGTATAATTCAAACCATTCAAAACCCAGTCCAATCTACTAATTCCAGCGAAATCCTACTACAAATAGAAGCTAAAAAATGTTCATTCAATGAATTTCAGGTGTCTCTCAGTATACCAATCCACTCCAGCACTCCAGCAGCAATACTAAAGAGAACTCAGACCCAGAGCTACAGATTATGTTACCAAATGTATAGGTATGATTTTTAACAATGGACATAGCTAGATTCATCCGATAACAGTTATGATAAATCTAACCACTCTCACAGTGTGTATAAAATTTGTAACTAAAAGCATCAATGTTTACTATATTTTGCTGGGGGGTGGACGGAAGAAAAATTTCTACTCCAAAGAAAAAGGAATCAACCTAAAGAAAAAGTGATATGGTCCTTCAGTTCTACTCTAATTACAAATGCAACCCATAAAACCTTAGGACTGTTTATGCTTCTGTCCTTTTAGCACAGGAGCTGGGATTTCCCACATGGCACACACTAACCTTTCTTTGGCAGCCCCCTTCCTTTCCCAGATCTGGAACGCCTATCTAGCAACCTTCCTTTTGGACTGGTGGGCACAGTTATTCCACTTCTATTTGCTTCGCTGCCATTATCACTGACTGAATCGCCTCTGCCAGAGTCCCGGGAGGAGTTTTTCCGTAGTCGTCTTTTTGCTTTAGCATTAATTCTAGCTTCATTAATAGAGGATGCAGAAATCCAATTTCCATTTATCTCATTCTTTATTTCCTCAGTGCCAGTATTTTCTTCATCACCAGAAAAGAGAGAGTCACTTAAATTATCAGGATCTTAAAAGAGAAAATAAAGAAACCTAACTAAGTATTTCCAGTATCCACTGTTATGTCAGGTATAATTTAATTTGGTTACTACATATGAAATGAACATTTTTTAGGTTAGTAGCAGTCTAGCAATTTCAAATGTCTTAATCTAATAAAGGACAAATTAACTTATTTTCCCATTAAATGAAGGTACTGAATTTTAATAGGGTTTTCTAAAGAGAAGTTATTGCACATTTGAATAATAAAATCTTAGTATGAAGAACATAAAGCTAGACCTGTGAGCAAAGAGTTACAAGTCAGACAGTAAGACGAAGACTCTTGAGACAAGGCAGGTAGACTACACAGAATGTCTATTGTGCTTTTCAGACTCCATACTGGACACTACAAGTTCAGCAATTTATACAGATGAAGAAATCAAGTCTCAGAGTGTATTTAGAACTACTTCCCAAACATGCCCTGTCCAGTTACAAACACTTAGGAAGCATCAGTAACTCTGCAAAAGCCTGCAGTATATATGTGGCAAATATGCAATCATGTGGAATTGTGGAATTGTGGAATTGACTGCCTTCAACATAAGGAATGCTCTTAGAATCATCATCTCAAAACTCCTAATTTATTTCCCTAAATTTCTATCTCTGGAAAGTTTCCAGTCTATACAAGTTGCCACATTAGCACCAAAAAGTATTCCAAATGGTCTCTTGCTTAGAAGTCATTTGAACTAAAACATTATCAAAATTCTTCAAAATACACTCCAGATCTCACTTCCTCCATGAAAACCTTCCTAAAAACTCAAGCCACAGTAACATTAAATGCTCATACGATCATCATTTAACTCATCACAGCAATTGATGTTTTGCTTCTTTCATAACGCCTTTCCCGGGTCATAGCCTCAAAGAAGGGGCAGTTGCTAGACTGTGGTTTCTGTCAACAGTACCAGAGCACTCTCCTCCCTCCCTATCGCCGATGTCTGTGAAGATCACATGACCACCTCAGTCTCACTCTGAAAACATTTAAGTCAGAAAAGCTACTGAATTCATTCCAAACTGTTTGATGCCTAATTATAATTACGATGGATCAAATTGATATATATGATTTTATTGAATTTTGTGATGGTTTAAAATTAAAATTTAATCTAAAAACCATGGGTGTGTTCAATCCTTTTAGATTCCTAGCAAAAAAAAAGGGGGGGGAGGGGAGCCAATTTTTAATAAGAAAAACAAAACACATTCAGTATACTAAAGTATTTCATTAGGCGCTGTCTCTGTGGCCTCCATCTTTACAACATTCTCCAAACTGAAGAGACTGGTTTTCTACAGCCTGCCCTTACGGGAAACTCTCTCAAAGTCTGTCACATCTCAAACAAAGCGTAAAGGTCTTCACTACGTAAAACACTGCCATGGAACACTTTGCCCCTGCTAACTGCACCATACTCAATGCAAATGTGCAAACTTCACTCTATGTCATCTTGTCTTTTGAAATGTCTTTTTGTAGAGGTGTGATACCGTAAGCATGCATAAGAAAATACTTTAAAAGTTTTACTCATTTTTTTCACAGAAAATATGGAATAGCTTCAAGTCTGCTCACAAGATAGGGTTTGGATACTACTTACCAGTGGGGTTTACATTCAGTATCTGCTCATTTTCTACATCCATTTTTCCTTAATTTCGCTTGCACTGATTATACACAAATTACTAAATGGAAGTGGTCCTTTAGAATCTATGTTTCAAAAAAAGAAAAGAAAAAGTTTCAACATCTTCTAAGCTGACAAAATTAAGGTAAAGTCAACTGATGTGAAAATGTCTAATTCCATTTTTAAAAGTTTGCTATCCTTTCAAAAATAATCTAATACTTACCTCCAAATTTCTCCACAAGCTTTTCTGAGCCAAAAAGGGAAAAAAAAAAAAAAAAAAAAAAAAAAAAACTTGAGATAAAATACTTATTTCAGCATGTGTCAATGAATCCCTTAAACATGGGGTTTAAAGATTTACAATACACATTCCTTTCAACTTAAAGAAACATACACACCGAATCTATTGCTCCCACCCGTGTGTGTGTGTGTGTGTGTGTGTGTGTGTGTGTGTGTGTAAGCCACATGTGTAAAGGTAGCTGTGGAGGCCAGAAGAGGGCACTGTGGTCCTGGAGCTAACACACGTGGACACTCAGAACTGAACTCAGGTCCTCTGGAACAACGCTATGTACTCTTGACCCATGGTCCATCTCTCCAGCCCACATTTAATAGTCTTAAAATTAATTGTATACCACAGAGAGGGTCAAGTAACAAAAACTTAGTTACTCTAAAATATAAACAACAGTTTTGGCTAATCAAGAACTTTATGTATTTATCTTTCACATCATAGAGTATCTGAAAGCAGAAGCAGCTATCATTTCATTACCTTTGTCTTTCCGTAAGGCACTGAAACAGGAAGACAATTTTAAGTACCTTTTCTACTAAGTGACTTATTTTTAACATATTGCCTTTATATTCTAAAATTTTCAAAAGCCCACTTTAGGAAGAAATAAAAGCTGGCTACTCAGGAGCTTAACACCTACAAAGAGACACCATAAGTGCCGGGTGAGAGGTGGCAACAGGTGATAGAACTTAGTGATAGCATGCACAGGACCCCTTTGGGTTTACATTCTTTTTCTCCAAAAAGGGTATTAACTTGTGAAACAAGTATAACATCTTAAGTTGAAGTGACCTCATAATTCTTAGGCTACACCAAGATGTTATCATACTGCCTGAGAATCAGAGCATGGTAAAATCATTTTCTAACTCTTTTCAGAATTAACTGACATGTAGGTCTAAAGAGTGTCTTCCCAATGTTTTACTTTCAAAAAAAAAAAACCTTAGGATTTAGAAAAACGAACTTTAAAATAGATATATAGAGATTCATGAAGATATAAGACCAAGTATAGTTTGGAAACGCAAAAAAATGAGAACTTTCCATGGCTGAAAATGCCACATTCTGCTTCCTTTCGGTACACACATGAGTTTCAGTGCTATAGGAAATCTGGCACATATGCAATGATTGGAGTGTAACTAAAGTTACATTCTCAAGATTTTTCATTCTTGATTCAAATATAATCTTTTAGAAAATATTTTCGGCAGCATCTGCTTAATAAAGGGGAAAAGATTATATATAATGCTTATCAAGCCCTTTATAATCCAAACTGAATTTTATATGCATTATTTCACTTACTTCATGTATTCACAAACAATTCAAGAGATTCAGAAAGAGTAAGCGATCTGTGCAAGGGGAAAGAGCAGCACAGTGGGAGAACTACAGCTGAACCCAGAGCCTGTGAGTAGTAGAGAAGGTTACAGTGCCCTAGAGGAAGACCTAGGGGGAGTCAACACAAAGCACTTCATGCCAATGGAGACCTGCTGCAGCACCACTTGCTAACCACTGCTTTCCAAACACTAGAATAACTACGCTAGGATACAGAAAACAGCTGTCAGGGAACGACGACCCCAGATAAGAGTACTGGATCAAATAATTATGACAACAACAAACTTCTACCTCCAGGCCACGACACCTTGATCAAGCAATCAAGAACCCAGTCACACTGATAGCGTCACAGCTGCTCTGAAGGACAGTAGTTGTACACTCTTCAGTAGGAGGCTTTTTTCTTTTTTTCAATTTAAAAATCCTTAAAATGCTTACCTCAAACTTAAGGCAAAGCAAAAAAATCTAAACTCCATTTGCTCCACACTAATTTATACAAAATCCTTTCCAATGAGAAAAAAAGCTATGCATATAGCTAAAAAAAAAAAAAAAAATTAAGGGTGAAATTAACTGTTCTCCAGTGCATTTCCTAAATACCCCATAAATTACTCTGATGTTTTTGGAAGTCAAGTTTAGACCATATGTTAACTAGCAAATTATTCTTCCCTGGGATATAATCCCATTAATTAGCAACTTGCAGCTAAAAGCACTCCACCACAATAATGCAAAGGAACCACTATAGAAAATAACCATGTACATTTATTTTTTGCAATCCTAACAAGTTATTTTCCCTTAATAGCACCACACCAGAAAATAACTAACCAGATAACCATTCACGTGTATTATATGTATGTGCCGATACACATACATATATAGCGCACGCACATTATGGGTATAAATACTAGTACGAACATATTCGCTAAAACCTCGTTTAAAACATGCATATATATATATATATATATATATATATATACATACACATATACATATATATACATACATATGGACTTCCCAACGTCTCAAATCTTTAACTCAAGGAGAATGTTCCAACTGTGAAACTATCAAACTGTTTTCAAAGCAGCGTGTAGGCCTCACCCCCACCGCTCGGCCAGGCCGGAGCTGCACTTGGGGTCGTACACAGCCGAGGGGAGACGACAGAGCCGTTCCCGAGGGGGCCAGGAGCGCGCCAGGCCTGCAGTTCTGCGGCCGTCGGGGGAACACAACCAACACGCCCTCCAGGCCCTCCACAGTCCCGGGCAGCTCAGGCAGCGCCCACGGCGTGCGTCCACAGAAGGGGCTCCCTCCTCGGCTGCTTCCTCCGGGTGAGCTCTACTTTTCCCGAGGGCCCCGGTGCGGGGGCGGCGAGGAGCTGACCCCGAGGCCGCACCGCCCAGCGGCTTTCCTGCGGGACCCCGACCTCCGTCCGCTCCTCACTCGGCTCCTACCGTCCCGTCCCCCGCGTCCAACTGCGTCGG